CATATACTATAAAGCAGCTTGGCTCGTATCCAGCTGGCTAGCTGGGAATTCAGACAAACTTTTTTTTAAAAAAAAAATCCCATTGTATTTTTCATAAATTCATTTCCCAGCCTAGATGGATTGGCTGTCACTCAGCGCAAAAAAATATTTAGTCATTTCTCGACCCGCGTTGTACATTTATGTTGCTGAGGGAATCACAATGCCTCCTTTTGTATAAGCTTAAACCTTATCAGTCTCAAGTGGCAATATAACTAATGAACAAAATCCTCTTATCTGAACTGTAGCAGAATCTTATCTGGGAAAGTATCCCTTGCAGTGTGTAAGGATTAGGGGCGATATGAAGAGAGGGAGGGGGGGTATATTTTCATGGGCATTGTAGTATTTGGACAAGGGTGTTTTCCCAAAGTCAACCTTTCAGGTACAAGCCTATATATGCTTAGGATGGGAATTCTGCCACAGCGTTCTGTGGGCAGAATTTTAAATAAATATGGATAGGTTTGCCCTTGTAGTAAGATACAAGTAGTGGTCCATGACTCACCAGCATTTCTTTAGTGACTGTTCGAAATTACAATAGCATTGAAAAATGGAATGAAATGGAATGGGATGGAATGGGATGGGACAGGACAGGACAGAATAGAATAAGATTAAAACTGAACGGAACAAGAATAGAACAAGAGTAGAATATTTCTTGACATGGGACTTGTCTTATCAATGGTGAACTAACAGAATCGGAGGTTAGAATTTAGTAAAATCTAAAAGATAATGAACACCTTTGTCTTGAAAATTTTGTAAGATGGATAAGCTAATTGTATTACTGTTTTGCAATTATTAGTGATACATTTATTATGCTTACTATTATTTATTTATTTTGTCAAAAGCTTACAACACAATAGAAATAAGAATAAACATAAGTTTAAATACAAGAAATAGGAACTAATAATTGGGGACAATAGGACAGGGACGGTAGGCGCGATTGTGCACTTATGTATGCCCCTTACAGACCTCTTAGGAATGGGGTGAGGTCAATGGAGGTTAGTTTGAGGGTAAAGGAGTGCGGGGTTTGAGCAGGTGACAACAGAATCAGGTAGTGAGTTCCAGACATTGACCACTCTGTTGCTGAAATCATACTTCCTGCAATCGAGTTTGGAGTGGTTTACATTTAGTTTATATCTGTTGTGTTGATTTATGATTATGATTTATGCTGATTAATATTGTATTTCTACTTAAACTAATTGTGTCCAGACAATACACTGTTCAGATTGATACAGAATTTTTATGTGATATAAAAAGAAAATGTATTAATAAAATATATATTTTTAAAAAAGAGAAGAGTAGAGTAGAGTAGAGTAGAGTAGAGTAGAGTAGAGTAGAGTAGAGTAGAGTAGAGTAAAGTAAAGTAGAGTAGAGTAGAGTAGAACAGGACAGGACAGAGCACAACAGAACAGAACAGAATAAGAATAGAATGGGAATAGAATAGAATAGGAATATTCTTTATTGGCCAAGAGTGATCGGACACACAAGGAATTTGTCTCTGGTGAGTTTTGCCCCATTTTACAACTCTTTTTGTCACAGCTGTTAAGTGAATCACTGCAGTTGTTAAGTTGTTCAGTTTGATTGCTAAGGGAATCTGCCTTCCTCATTAACTTTGCTTGTCAGAAGATCGCAAAGAGGTGATCACAAGAACCCAGGACACGGCAACGGATCATCCATCATTGCCAAGCATCCAAATTTTGATCATGTGACCCTGGGGATGCTGCAATGGTCGTAAGTGTGAAAAACGGTCATAAGTCATTAAGAAACGCTGGCAGTATGGCTTTCATGATTTGGGTGGAAATTCATGCCATGCGTCTTGGGTGGCCTTCACTGAATTTCAGACAGGTTGCAAGACCACAACAATAGGATAGGATAGGATAGGATAGGATAGGATAGAACAGGATAGGATAGAAGAGAATAGGAATAAGAATAGAATAGAGTAGAGTAGAGTAGAGTAGAGTAGAGTAGAGTAGAGTAGAGTAGAGTAGAGTAGAATAGAATAGAATAGAGAATGGAATAGAATGGAATAGGATAGGATAGGATAGGATAGGATAGGATAGGATAGGATAGGATAGAATAGAATAGGAATAAGAATAGAATAGAATAGAATAGAATGGAATAGAATAGAATAGAATAGAATGGAATGGAATGGAATAGAATAGAATAGAATAGAATAGAATAGAATAGAATAGAATAGAATAGAATAGAAGAATAGAGAATGAAATAGAATAGGATAGGACAGAATAGAATAGAATAGAATAGAATAGAACAGAACAGAATTGGGTAGGGTAGGGTGGGATAGGATAGGATAGGACAGAATAGAATAGGAATACGAATAGGAATAGGAATAGGAATAGGAATAGGAATAGGCTTAGGAATAGGAATGGAATAGGAATAGGAATAGGAATAAGAATAGAATAGAATAGAATAGAATAGAATAGAATAGAATAGAATAGAACAGAATAACAGAGTTGGAAGGGACCTTGGAGGTCTTCTAGTCCAACCCCCTGCCTAGGCAGGAAACCCTACACCACTTCAGGCAAAGGGTTATCCAACATCTTTTTAAAAGCTTCCAGTGTTGGAGTATTTACAAAATGTTAGGGAAGGGACACGTTTTCCAACTCTGCACGTCATAACTGGGGAGGTCTGGGGACTGATATGGCTTTGGCCTCGACCAGCTACTGTACTATCCATAGCGGATCCAGGATTTTTTTTTTTCATTCATGCAGCTCTCTAAACCCCTATGCCAGGGGTGTCAAAGGTCAGGCCCATGGGTATACCAGGCTGGTCCTCAGGGTGCTTAGAACTGGCCCATCAGGCGGCCCTGGCAAACAGGCAAGGACTGGCTCGTGGCGCCTCTGCCAGTTAAAATGGAGCTCGGGAGGGCCACTCTGGGCTCTTGCTCTCCACTGCCTAGGGCTGTGGACAGCCTACGCCACTGACCAGGGGTCATCTGTGTGGCCTGAAAGGACAAGCATTTGGCACTCTCCCTGGCCTCACCTTCCTCTGCTGGAGACAATGGATCCTCCCATCCAGAGGTGGTATTCAGCTGGTTCTGACCAGTTCTGGAGAAGCGGTAGCGGAAATTTTGAGTAGTTCGGAGAACCAATAAATCCCACCTCTGACTGGCCCCGTCCCCATCTATTCTCTGCCTCCCGAGTCCCAGATGATCGGCTGGGTCTTCTTTGGTTGCCCTGCACAGGAGAAGGGAGCTGGAAAGCAGGTTAGTGGGGTGGGAAGGGAAGGGAAATTTTGCAGTATATCCTTCCCCTGCCATGCCCACCAAGCCACACTCACCAAGCCATGCCCACAGAACCTTTAGTAAAAAAAATTGAATCCTACCACTGCGGCCCCAGCCTCTCCTGGGCCGCCACAGGCACCCCCGACACAACTGACGTCGAGCTGGTCATGCCTCCTGACCACGCCCCCACCCCCCGAGATCAAACACAACCCTGATGCAGCCCTCAATGAAATCAAGTTTGACACCCCTGCCATATATTAAGTTCCAACAATGGGCTGTGTTTAAAACGGAGCTAGTTTATCTCTGGATCAATGGCCGCATCCATCCGTTGGAAGGAAAATCCAGGTCCAGGTCCAAGCCAGGAATAAAATGGAGGCTGGTCGGAAAGAAAGTTTACTGATGAACAGTGTTCAATTCTGGGAGAGCTGACCAATTGGTTTGGCCAGTGCATGGATTTTTATCTAGTTTCTTTTTTCTTTTTTACAGCATTTCATAATTTAGAGGTTTGTTTTTAATGTACTTTTGTTATTTGATTTTGATTAGTTTGTCTCTCAAACTCCAGCAATGAGTCTAAAGTGCTAGCTTCTTTGGATTTTTTAAAATTTTGTTTAACACATGTAATTAATTAATCCTAAATACTGGCTTCCTTGGGGTTTTAATCCTGTCTAACAAATGTAATTAATCCTATCAAATTATCTTTGGTTTGTCTATTACCTCTTTGTGAATATACAGGCTAAATTCAATGTTTCTGCTTTCATGACAGATTTATTTAGGTTTCTGATTGCAACATGTTTCTTTTCTTGGCTTTTCTGTTTTTTAAGTTTTTGGGGGTGCAAAGAAGGGGTCTTTTTTGGAGGGGCTTCATTTTCTTACTACACATCAAAGCATTCAATCAATCAAGCTGTTGTGTTTCTCAACCCTATAACAACTTTAAAAATGCCTGGATTTTTTAAACTTCCGGAATACCCAGCTAGCATGCTGGAAAATTGGAATAAAATGCTGACTGAGGAATTCTGGGAGTTGAAGTCCAGACAGTTGCTCAGCTTGAGAAACCCAGAGTTAAAGATTCCTCAGTTG